TGATTTTTTTTAATGTATTGTTGGAGTTGGGTTGTGAGTATTTTGTTGGGGATTTTTGCATCTATGTTCATCAGAGGTATTGTCTGTAGTCCTCTTTTTTTGTGGTGCCTTTTATCTGGTTTTGGTATCAGGATAATGTTGGCCTCATAGAATGAATTTGGAAGTTTTCCTTCCTTTTCTATTTTCTGGAGTAGTTTGAGAAGAACAGGTACTAAGTCTTTTTTAAATGTTTGGTAGAATTTGCCCGTGAAGCCACCTGGGCCTGGACTTCTGTTTGTTGGGAGTTTTTTAATTACTGATTGACTTTCTTTGCTAGCTATTAGTCTATTCAAATTATTTTGATTGGTTATAAATGCTATCTGGCTAATCTCTATTCCAGTATAGGAATTAAATTCAGAAGACACTGGTTTTTCTTCAAATCCTGGTGGCAGATTATAATTATGGTCAATAAATTCTGGTATCAAGGGTTTAGCTAAAAATTATTTGATATTTGATGTTATTTGGCTACCATGAGGCCGAAAGTCTTTTTACAAAAACTTAGTTCAAGGAATCTAAATCTGCTTCTTACCTAAGCAATTCAAATAAGCATTTTCCTTAATATCAGAGAAGGTATTTATTGGGATTAATAAATGGACAATTGTGTTCTAATTTCTCAGTCACAGCCAAGAATCCCTGTCAGTCCAGATCCCCTGTTGGGGACATTGGATATAATCTCTACCTATTCTCAATTCCCGGAGTATATAATCTTTCATTTATAACATATCACTTGCACTAGTATTGTTACTGGAATGTCTACCTTTTCCTCTATAAATAGATTTGTACTTCTTTAAGGGAAGGGTCATATTTTTTTTTTTAAAGATTTTTATTCATTTATTTGAGACAGAGAGAATGAGAGAGAGCACATGAGAGGGGGGAGGGTCAGAGGGAGAAGCAGGCTCCCTGCAGAGCAGGGAGCCCGATGTGGGACTCGATCCCGGGACTCCAGGATCATGACCTGAGCCGAAGGCAGTCGCTTAACCAACTGAGCCACCCAGGCGCCCAGGGAAGGGTCATATTTTTAAACATTTTACATCTTATACAGGGTCTTAAGTAAAATAGATATTATAGCAGTGGGCCTCAATCATGTTCTCAAATGATTCATGTCTCCAAGTATTTGTGCTCAAACAACCCTTGGCCCATTTGGAGTAGAACTGAGGCCTCTGAATAAAACCCAATACAAAGCTACTAGCTTTGTAATTGAATCACCTTGGAAGACAGTCTTTTAGACCGAGTCAGTGGCTGACTGCAACATAACAGAATCCAAGCTGGAATCACCCAACCAAAACAGTTCCAATTTTCTTTACCACAGAAATCACATGGCAATTGTTGCTTGATCACATAGCCCTGAACATCTGTTTAATAGGTAGGATTTTTATGACTAATACATGAAAATCACTGCTTTAAGCCACTAACTTTGGGGTAATTTGTTACTCAACAATAGAAAATAAATACAAAATTTTATGACCAAAGGCAAGAGCATGACATGAAAGATTCAAATTATTGGATGAAGGCCAAATGTCATAATGATCATAATATATATCTCATTCTATTGGTTATGTGAAGATTTTTAATAGAGAAATTAGTTTTTAACCAGACTTTAGAAGAATAGATTGTGGTGGTGAGGTAGAGAAAAACAACTCATACTTGTGGTAAATTCTCAAAAGATTGAAGTCTTGCTACCTTCAGTGGTTGGTCAGAAGGTTTGATATACTGGTAATGAGAAAGAATGTTAGTTGCAGAAATGGCAAATTTTGAAGGTTAAGAAAGACCTGTCAGGGAGCTCTTCCAAAATGGTGGAATAAGGACCTCTAAAAATCTACTTCTCCATAAAACCAATGACAATTGAAAAAATTCTCTAAATCAACTTCTATAGAAATTTGGAAAAAAATGAAAGGCTTTTAACAATTCCAGTAGCACTTACTCAAAGAAAGCAGCTGAATATCAGTAAGAAAAGCAAGCTTTGTGACATCTTAAATTGCTTTATTCCCATTTCTCTGTCCCAGATACATAGAGCTGTGGAAACCAATAACCTCCCAACCATGGTATTTGTGAAACCCAAAAGTCTGTCAGACACTGGATGGAGCAAAACAGTTTGGGTTCTCTTAATAACCCCATTCCCAGAGTATTTTCATTATTTTTCTTGTCTAGTAGCTCCTTCAAAAAACCAATTCTTTTACATAGTCTAATGCAGATTTGTCTGTGAAAACAGCCTTATCCCCAGAGTATTTGTCAAAACAATCAGCTGCAGTCATTTAATCCTGAGGCAGGGATACAAGTGGCTGACCAAAAAACTTAAAAGGAAGAACAGAGGAATGAGAGGTCCATTTTAAATGCCCCCAACATATTTAAAATGCTCCAACAAAGCCCCAGATGATATCACACATGCTCAGGGCTGTACTAATGTCAGAAATAAACTGAGAAGGCCCTAAACTCTGTTTAATCTCTGGCTCATAATAAGACTCGGCACAGAGCAAGAGGGGAAAGCTAATTCAGAGTTATAAAATGCCAAAACACTGAAGGCATGTCCCAAGACACACACAGACGCAAAGACTGGGAGACTTACTGATTCAAGTTATTTAAAGAAATCTACATCCAGTCACTAGCTGACAACTAAGTTAATCAAGCAGAGGTGTGAATGGCTACATGCACACACACAAAATTCAGACTTTACACAACTAGTCCAGGAAATTCATTAACCCATCACTAATAACAATAGCAAATGTTATGAAGGTGTGGTAGACAGAATAATGCCCCCTTCCCAAAGATGTAGATGTTCTCATCATCAGGAGTTGTGAAATCTGTTGTTACCTGGCAAGGAGTTAAATTAGCCAACAGCTGGCTTTGAAGAGATTATCTTGGATGATCCAGGTGGTCCCAATTCAAAGGTTCTTTGAATGTGGTAGAAGAAGGAAAAAGAGTTAGTGTCAGAGGGATAAAATGTGGAAAAGATTCAAAGAGCTACTAAAGACTTTGAAGAGGTGATAGGGCTATGAGTAAAAGAAGGCAGGCAGTGTCTAAAAGGTGGAAAAAAAGAAAATAAAAGAAAGAAAACATTTTCTATCTCAGAGCCTCCAGAAAGAATGTAGTCCTGCCAACACCTTGGTTTTAGCCTAGGGAGACCCATTTGGACCCATTTTCCTGCAAAACTGGAAAATAATAAATTTGCATAGTTTTAAACCAATAAATTTGTGGTAATTTGTTTCAGTAGCAATAGGAAAGTAATATGGGGTCAGGAAGGACATGATTTGCAGAGTTGCCAGATTATATATTTAAAATAAGTTATAAAAAAGAGGAAAGTATAACCCATACCCTGGAAGAGAGCCAGTCAATATAAACTATCTCAGAGGAAGCACAAATGTTGGACTTAGTAGACAAAGACTGTAAATAAGCTTTAAAAGCACTTAATGAACTAAATTAAAAGTGTTTAATAAAAATTATGTCTAAAGAATTAGTGAGAAGTGTGAGAAAAATGCTTTGCTGAATTGTCAATAAAAACACATTGTAAAAGAAAGAAACAAATAGAAAATCTCCAGTTGAAAAGTACAAAAAGTGAAGTTAAAATTCGCTAGAGGAGGGTGCCTGTGTGGTTCAGTCGGTTAAGTGTCTGACCCTTGATTTTGACTCAGGTCATGAACTCAGAGTTGTTAGAGCCCCTTATTGGGCTCCGTGCCAGGTGCGGCGTTTGCTTAAGATTCTCTCTCTCCTTCTTCCCCACCCCCCTCCCTCTCTAAAAAAAAAAAAAAAAAGAAATTCACTAGAGGGGATCAACTGGCAGAAGAGAGAACAAATAAAACTTGAATATAGGTCAGTTTAAATAATCCAGTCCGAACAGTTTAAAAAAGAATGAAGAAAAATTAACAGAGCCTCAATCTGTGGGAACCCCAGCACATGCACAAATATACAGATAAATGAGTCAAGTAAAAGGAGGAAAAGAAAAAAAATTTGAAAAACTAATGACCTAAATATTTTTAAATTTGATTAAAAAAAACATCAATTAGTACATTAAAGCACTTCAAAGAATTCCAAGGAGGATAAACTCAGAGACACACACCTACACATGTGGTCAAATTATCAAAAGAAAGAATAAATCTTGAAAGCAGCAAAGAAAAACAACTCATCATCTACAAGCCTTCTTAAACTGATTAATATTCCTTCTCAGAAATCATGAAGCCTAGGTGTGCCTGGGTAGCTCAGTCAATTAAGCATCTGACCTTTGATTTTGGCTCAGGTCATAATCTCAGGGATGTGAGATTGAGCCCCTCATTGGGCTCCACACTCAGCTGGGAATCTGCTTGAGATTCTCTCATTCCCTCTACTCCTCCTCTACCCCCAACCCCTGTAAAATAAATTAAAAAGAAATCATGAAGCCTAGAGAGTAGTAGGATGATGTACTCAAGGGAAGAAATAGATAATTCAATAATAATAGAGACTTCAGTCTTCAATACCACCCTATTAATAATGGATAGAACAATAAGGAAATGGAAAATTAAAATATGCTATAAACTGACTAGATTTAATAAGCATCTACACAACATTCCAACCAACAATAGAATGTCCATTCTTCTCCCAAGTACATGTGGTACATTCTCCAGGATAAACCATATATAGGTCCATAAAACAAGCCTTGATAAATTTAAAAGGATCAAAAATCATTAAGTTTATTCTACAAACCATAAGGTGATAAAATTAGAAATCAGTAACAGAAGGAAATTTGGGAAATCCACAAATATGTGAAAATTAAACAACATAGTCATAAGTAGTCAGAGGTCAAGTAAAAAAAAACACTGGTAAGTTAGTAAATTGTGATAAATAAAAATGAAAATATAAAATACTAAAACATAGAATGCTACAAAAGCAGTTGCTTAGAGGGAAATTTATAGCAATAGGTATTTATTTAATTTAAAAAGAAGAAAGATTTAAAATCAACAGCCTAATCTTCCACTTAAGAAACTAGAAAAATAGTGCTTCCTTTGGCAGCACATATATTAAATTAGAATGATACAGAGATTAGGCTGACCTCTGCAAAAGGATGCCATGCAAATTTGTGAAGCATCCCATAAAAAAAAAATACATAAGAGCAAGTTAAACCTAAATTAAGTAGAAGAAAGAAAGAAAAGAAAGATTGATTATAGTAGAAATAAATGAAGTGGATAATAGAAAAACATGGGAGAAAATCAACAAAACTTTATTTTTTGAAAAATCAACAAAATTGACAAAACTTTACCTAGAGTAACCAAGAGAAGGGGAGAAGACTCACATCTCAAATTGCTACAATCAGGAATCAAAGAGGGAGGGGATATCACTAATGATACTACATAAATGAAAAGAATAATGAGAAAATAATATGAATAATTGTATGTAAATAAATTAGATAACTTACATAAAATGAAAAAATCCCTAAGACACAAACTACTAAAACTGAAGAAATATGAAATGTGAATATACTTATAACAAGTAAACATTTTAAATTAGTAATCAATTTCCCAAAAGAAAAGCTCAGGACTAGACGGTTTCACTGGTGATCTACTAAATCTTAAAAAAAAAATACTAATAATAATACCAGTGGATCACAAAACCTTCTAAAAAATAAAAGAGAAGATAATGCTTCCCAGATCATTATAGGAGTCCAGTAGCATTCTGATGCCAAAACCACACAAATCCCAATATCTTTTATGAATATAGACATATCTTCATACAAAATACTAGTAAGCAGAATCCAGAAATATATGGAAAAAATTATACTCCATCCAAAGTAGAATGTTTCCCTAAGATGCAAGGTTGATTTAACATATGAAATATACTATATTAATAGACTAAAGGACAATGTCACATGATCATCTCAGTAGATGCAGAAAAAACATTTGACAAACGTCAATACCCTTTCTTTTTTTTTTTTTTTTTAAGATTTTGTTTATTTGAGAGAGAGAGAATGAGTGAGAGAGAGTGCACACATGAGAGAGGGGAGGGTCAGAGGGAGAAGCAGACTCCCTGCTCAGCAGGGAGCCCGATGCGGGACTCCATCCCAGGACTCCAGGATCATGACCTGAGCCGAAAGCAGTCGCTTAACCAACTGAGCCACCCAGGCGTCCCCGTCAATACCCTTTCTAAAACCAGTCAGCAAACTAGGAACATAAAGCAACTTTCTAAACCTAATAAACTATGTCTGCAAAAATCCCACAGCTAATAGCACACTTAATGGTCAAAGACTGAATGCTTTCTTCTCTAAGATCAGGAATTAGAGAAGGCTATTTTCTCATCACTTCTATTCAACAATTGTTTTGGAGGTTCTAGCCAGGGAAATTATACAAGGAAAGGAAGTACATGTATCCAGATAGGGCAGGAAGAAGTAAAACCATCTCTATTTGCTGATACCATCATCTTGATATAGAAAATCCTATGGAATACACTAAAAATCTATAAGAACTAATAAAATATTGTTAGAACTAGTAAGTGTGTTTGGCAAATTCCAGAATACAAGATCAACATAAAAAGTCTATTGTATTTTTATATACTTGCAATGAACTCTCAAAATTAAGAAAGCAATTAAATTACATTAGGAACCAAAATATAGAATACTTAGGAATAAACTTAAAAGAAGTGCAAGACTTGTACACTGAAAATCACAGAACATTGTTGAAAAAAGTTAAATGTCAAAGTTAATTTAAAAGATCATATGGCCATGATTGAGTTAATGTAAAGCCAAAAATACTTTCCAAATTGATCTACAGAGTCATTATAATCTGTCAAAATTCCAGCTACATTTTTTACATTTTGAAAAGCTGACCCTAAAATTCATATGGAAATGCAAAGAACCCAGAATAGCCAACACAGGATCATGTGTTTCTGGCATGAGGATGGAAATTATTATATATATAACAGATATAATTTTCATCCTTATGCTATATACATTATATATATCCTGTTTGTGTGTGTGTGCGCAATAGTAATGAGAATCCAGAAATAACTCTTACATTACAGTTAATTGATTTTGAAAGGTGTGTTAACCCAGTTCAGTGAGGGAAACAACTGTCGATTCAACATCTGGATAGCTTCATGCAAAAGAATGACGTTGGACCTCTACCTCACACCATATGAAAAAATAATTTATAATGGACTACAGAACTAAATACAATAGCTAAGACTGTAAAACAGTTTTAAGAAAATGGGAGTAAATCTTTGTGATCTTTTATCAAGCAATAGTTTAGTAGATATGACACAAAAAGCAGAAGCAATGAAAGAAGAAAAGTTGAATTTGATTTTATCAATGTTATTATTATCATAAATTTGTGTTTCAAGGGGCACCATTAAGAAATGAAAATACAAATCCAGAGTGGATGAAAGTATTTTCAAATTGCATACTTGATAAATGTCTAGTGTCTAGAATATATAAAAAAACTCTTATAACTCAACAATAAAAAGAAATTTTAAAATGGGCAAAGAATTTGAATAAACATTTCACCAAAGAAGACTTACAAATGGAAAATAAGCACATAAAAAGATGTTCAAAATAGTAATTCAGGAAAGAGAAATGATTATAATGAAACACCATTTCATACCCATTAAGATGATTAAAATAAAAAGAACAACAAAAACAATGGAGAGCTTGAGCAGTTTAGTGGGTTAAGTGTCAGACTCTTGGTTTCGGCTCAGGTCATGATCTCAGGGTCATGGGATTGAGCCCCACGTCAGGCTCTGCCCTCAGCATGGAGTCTGCTTGTCCCTCTCCCTCTGCTCCTCCCCCTGCTCTCTCTCTCTCAAATAAATAAAATCTTAAAAAAAGTAAGAAAAACAAGAATTGGAAAGGTTATGGAGAAACAGGAATCCTTAAACACCTATACATTGCTGGTTGAATTTTAAAATGATGCGGACACTTGGTACAATCGTTCGGCAATTCCTTGGGAAAAAATACTGTTATTGAAGTATTATTGGCATACAATATCATATTAGTTTCAGATGTATATCAAAATAATTCAGTATTTTTATATTACCACGATAACTCTAATTACCATCTGTCACCATACAAAGTTATGACAATATTACTGACCATATTCCCTATATTCATTAACATCCCCATGACTTATTTATTTTATAACTCTAAGTTTGTACCTCTTAATTTTCTTAACCTACTGTGCCCACCTCCCCAGCCCCTCCCCACTCTGGTCACTAAGTTTGTATCTTGTACCTATGAGTCTCTTTCTGTATAGTTTATTTTTGTTTTTTAGATTCCACATGTAACTGAAATCATATGGTATTATTTTTGTTCTGACTTATTTCACTTAAGATAATACTCTCTAGGGCGCCTGGGTGGCACAGTTGGTTAAGCGACTGCCTTCGGCTCAGGTCATGATCCTGGAGTCCCTGGATCGAGTCCCGCATC